ATAATAGCATCATAGTCAAGAGCAAAGACATCAACACCAGCCCTCATGAGCTCAGCCCAGCGGGGGCGCTCAACATCCTCACCCATCTCCTCACGCCAAGCGTCGTCAAGGCGGGAGAAGCAGCGGTACGGGGTGTGGAACCTCCCACACGTCTGTCCCTTGCGGTCACCTGTGCGAATGACATAGGAACAGCGGCCACTGCCCCCCGACGTCCCACGCTGAGCAAGCCACTCACGAAGCTGCTGGGTCGTCTGGGGACGCTGCTGCTGCTGGGAGCTCTGGCCCGAGCCAGTGCCTCCACTCCGACCTCCGCCACCACCACTACCCCCGCTCCGACCGCCACCACCGCCGCCGCCACCGCCGCCGCCGCCGCCGCCGCCGCCACCACCGCCACCGCTCCCTCCGCCGCCCCCGCCTCCGCTGCCGACCCCACTCCCACTAGCACTCCTGCCACCACTCCCTCCAGCACCGCCTCCCCCCCCACCTCCCCCACCTCCTCCCCCCCCAGCGCCACCCCCGCCACCCTTGCCCCCCTTGCCCTTGCCGGTGCGGCGCCTCCCACCAGGAGCAGAAGCAGCGCCAACAGACTCAGCACCAAGGAAGTCAACGGCAGCAGCAGTAGCGTAGGAGGGAGCGAGGGGAGAGGGAGAACACCCCTCAAAGATGGGGGTGCGAGGAGCGCCACGAGCAGCACCGACAGCTACAATGCTCTTCTCGGCTGCTAGCAGTTTCTCCTCTAGGAGGGCGACAGTGAGCTCAGTGGGACAGCGAGCAAGGAAATGGTCGCGCACTGAGCTAAGGGTGTCAGGGAGACGGGTGACTATAAAGTGGAGTGTCCAGTACAGTGGAGGGGGGTTCTTAGCGCAGAACTCGGTGGGAAGGGCGGCACGCAGGCGAGCGTCACTAGTGCGAAGGTGGGTGATAAGATCGGCGACTGTAGCAAAGGTGGACAGCTCAGGGAACAGGTAAGGCAGCATAAGGCGGCTAAGCTCGGCTGTGGCAGGTGAGGAATAGCGGGCAACGACAGCGTCGTACAGGGCCTTAGCGGTTTTGCAGTCGCCAAAATGCTCGAGCTCAGCTAACGGCAGGTGACTGCGAATGGCTAGGCGAGCAGCTGCGTCACGAGTCTGCCAGTGGGAACGAACACTAAGCTCAGCTGTGGCAGGAGGGGCAGGTGCAGCACCAGACGCGTAATCATAGAGCGACACATGTTCCTTGCTATCGCTCAGGAGGAACAGCTGCAGGTCATCCAGCCAAGTGGCGAACTTCACAGGGCGGCCCTCAGCATCGAACGACAGCACGCGGATGGAAGCCATAGCGACAGTGCGACTGAGCAAAGGAAGCTGCCGCAGCGCTGCAGGTAGGTAGCTCGGCGGGAAGCGCGGCGAGCGGGCAGTGCGGGGGGCGGGCTACGAAGCGGGCAGCGCGGTGGGGCAGGGCTGCGAAGCGGGCAGCGGGGCGAGCGGGCGACGCGGCGAGCGGGCAGCGCGGCGGGCGGGCTGCGAAGCGGGCAGCGGGCGGGCGGGCGACGCCGCGAGCGGGCAGCGAGCGGGCGGGCGGGCTGCGAAGCGGGCAGCGGGCGGGCGGGCGACGCTGCGAGCGGGCAGCGCGGCGGGCGGGCTGCGAAGCGGGCAGCGGGCGGGCGACGCGGCGAGCGGGCAGCGCGGCGGGCGGGCTGCGAAGCGGGCAGCGGGCGGGCGGGCGACGCTGCGAGCGGGCAGCGCGGCGGGCGGGCTGCGAAGCGGGCAGCGGGCGGGCGGGCGACGCTGCAAGCGGGCAGCGGGCGGGCGGGCGACGCTGCGAGCGGGCAGCGCGGCGGGCGGGCTGCGAAGCGGGCAGCGGGCGGGCGGGCGACGCTGCAAGCGGGCAGCGGGCGGGCGGGCGACGCTGCGAGCGGGCAGCGCGGCGGGCGGGCGACGCTGCAAGTGAGCAGCGGGCGGGCGGGCGACGCTGCGAGCGGGCGGCTCGGCGGGCGGGCGACGCTGCGAGGGGCGCGCGAGGGCGCTAACGAGGGGCGCTCGAGGGCGCTAGTGAGGGCGCGCGAGGGCGCTAACGAGGGGCGCACGAGGGCGCTAACGAGGGCGCACGAGGGCGCTAACGAGGGCGCACGAGGGCGCTACGAGGCTAGGGCACGGGGTAGCGTGGTAACCGCATGCGAGCGGTGGTGGGCCCTTAAAAAAAGTCGGTAGGTCCTAGGGACCTCCTGCTCTAAATACCATGTTGAGAGAGCTAGGCAAGAATGAGTGCATTGAATGGAAGAATTGGGTACAAGTAGCAAACCCTAGTTGGGGTTGTACCCCATATTGGCTACCCCACTACAGCCTACAAGCATAATACAGTTTAACAGGGAGCACTTCGGAAGGAAGTTCCTCATCTGCCCAGTCAAGCCGGCAGGTTGACGGAACGGCTACATCCAACGGAAATGCTGGTCGCAGGCGCAAACGTCCTGTTCAAGACATCGTCGAGAGCTCTGCACGGGTGGACGGGGAACCTGACGCACCTCGGGCGCCATCATTGGACGACGATCCAAACGTGGCACTCCCCAGACGTAACCCAGTCCACGCTCAAGACCAGGATGGTGCGGAAGCGGATAACAATGCTGATGACGACGCAGAGGAGGATGACGCAGGCGCGAGGCGTGATCCCAATGACGCACCGGTCACGCGTGAGGAGCTGCTTAGCATGAGGGAGCTCCATGAAGAGACGGCACGTGCGATTGCAAGGTTGGAGACGGCGTTCATTGCGAGGCCCAAGGAAGACGGCAGTCCTAAGAAGAGGAGGAGGCGCAAGCGCGGCTCCGCCAAGGGAAAGCGCCGGAAGGCGCGGCGGGAATGCTCCACGTCCGAGACCGCGTCCGATGAGGAGGGGGGCTTCGACGACGAGGACGTGGGCCACCTTCGACACTCCCCATCTGCCATTATGCCGGAGGCGCTCGACCTACTCCCGACTGACAAAGGCTGGAAGGTAACATGTGTGAGAGAGTGTGCCGTGTACAGAGGGGATCATGTGTGGCGGTTGCTGACGTAATGTGTGGTCTTACATGGCAGGAATTATGTGAGCAGGCGCGCACCGAGCTGTTCGTTCGGCGCTCCAACGCACAACTGACGTTCTACCCCAGCAGCGCCGCCAAGACTTGGGCCATCTGTGCAGTCGTGGATAACCTGACGGAAATCTATGCAAGCGTGGCTCTCGCGGCATGCAAGGCACGTCGGTGTCGAGAGAATTAGGCAAAAAGAGAGGGTTGAACTAGCAAGAATGGGGATACAAATAGCAAACCCTAGAAGGGTTGTACTCGCTACAGAGCACCCCACTGCAGGCTAGACAAATATAACATTCTGACACACCCCCATAGCCAAAGTGGGGTGTAATCAGCAGAGCAAGCAAAGCAGTACAAGCTCAGGGTGGATCACGATGTCACCACACATTCTGAGCACAAGTTCAAGAAGCAACAGTTTATAAGTTATGAGCAAAGCTAGAGGCGGTCACAGAGGACAAATGAGGAGGAGGAGGGCTGGCGAGAGGAGAAAGGAGTGGAGGCGACGACTGAAGCTGCAGACACACGGGCATCAGACGGCTCTGGCGCAACGCTAGTGGCTACCGGAAGCAGAGCCCCGGACTACAGGGGTAATAGTCGCTGCGGAGGGTGCAGCGGACCCACGGGCGACAGGTGCAGCCGGCTCTCTGAGCTACCGGAGGTCCGCGGAACCCCGGAATACAGGTGCTGAGAACGACACGACGGCAGTCTCCGCTCAACCTCCCCCAACAGTCCCACACCCCTCGACACACACCCCTTGCTTCACCCCTAGCTCCACTCCCACGGTACCCCCCCTTAAACCCCAAACCCTAGACTCCCACACACCACCCCCCTCAGCGGCAGCTGCAGTAGAGGGAGACTAGGGAGGAGGAGGAGTAGGTAGAGTAACGCACAACCGACACCCCCACAGCCGCCACCCCCACACTCCCCACCCCCAAACCCTAAAACGGGCGAAAGGGAGAAGGAGCGCGGGGGACGGCGAGGGGGAAGGCGCGCGACCCCCAGGGCGCCACCTCTGGGCAGCGGGGGCCGCGCGCGGCTCCCCAGGGCGCCTCGACGGGGCAGCGGGGGGCCGCGCGCGGCTCCCTAAGGCGTCGCGACGAGGCAGCGGGGGCCGCGCGCAGCTCCCCACGGCGTCGCGACGAGGTAGCGGGGGGCCGCGCGCGGCTCCCCAAGGTGTCGCGACGAGACGTCGGGGGCGACGCGCGGGGCTGCGGGGCGACGCGGGGGGTCGACGGCGACGGGGGGGGGGGGGGGGGGCGCTTCGACGGTGGGAAACCGCCGCGCGCCTCGGGGCGCACGGCGTGCAGAAAACCGCCGCGCGCCCCGAGCGCACGGCGGGATGAAAACCGCCGAAACCCTAGAAAAAATTCGCCGCGCGCTCCGCGCACGGCAGGAAGAAGTCGTCGCGCGCCCGAGGCGCCCGGCAGGAAGTAAAGCAGCGGAAGCATTAGGTGGTGGGCCCACCCACAGGATCGACCCAGGAGGGTCGACCTGCTCTGATAGCATGTCGAGAGAATTAGGCAAAAAGAGAGGGTTGAACTAGCAAGAATGGGGATACAAATAGCAAACCCTAGAAGGGTTGTACTCGCTACAGAGCACCCCACTGCAGGCTAGACAAATATAACATTCTGACAGTCGGGTCGACCTGAACAGGTCGTGCAGCGACTGGAAGACAGCGGCGGCAGGGAGAGTCCGCGACATCGGCCTGCCGAGGATTGGATTTTTTCGCCACGAACGAGACATGAAGAGTCCATGGGCGACCAAGGCGAGGCGCACCCTCCCCCGGATCCGAGATAGGGTCGGCCTTGGCGACGTGCCGCTGGGTAAGGGTGTGCTACAACAAGAAGGGCGATAGGGAGTGATTTACTTATGGCTAGATAACCGTCATCTAATGCGCTCGTTGTTTATGCGTTACGTGGCAGGAAATCTGCGGCTGTCTAGCTGGAGTTGCTCCCGTGAAGGGATGCCGTTCGCGTCTGGGGCGTTTACGGCCTGCGCGCGTGCGGTGCTCAAGCCAAGGATGGTCAACGGGACTGTGACACTGAAGCTCTACCACGTGGCATGGCTGGAGCACGTGGTACGCAAACACCGTGGTCATTTAGACTACCGACAGTACATGGGTGAGTGTACTCACGTGCGCGTGTATGTGGTTTGCCGTGCGCAGGTGACAGATGCGGTCAATCACTGGGAGGAGCGCCAGGGTCGCTTCGCCAACTCCGCGAGCACCAACGTGCAGATAGTGGACGGCCTCCACGTCCTCGTCAAGGCTGCTATTAGGGCCGCCATCGCGGATTTCCGACCAGCATATGACGAGGCGTCCCAGAGCTGGGAGTGGGGCCGCCATGGTCTCCGCATCTCGGAAGACGGCATCGCCGCCGTCGAAGCAGTGACCGCAGAGGCAAGCGTCAGTCGCAGCACTCCGCAGGCCTAATCAGGGGAACAACAATAGGCGATGCGTGGCATCGTAAGCCGGTGCAAAGAATTATGGATAAACCATATATATAATGCATGTGTGGGTGCGGTGTAAGGGAACGACGGTGGGCAATGTGAGGCGGCCATTGCCTAGGAGGTGTGGCCCAGCTTCGGCATCGCATACTGGCGTCGTAATGTTTTCTTGCGTATCTGTTTTGACGGAACAAGAGAGCCTGGAATATTTTTCGTACACAGTTCCATTAGCATGCGGGGAAGATAACCAGTCAACCAGACTGCAGAATGTATAATGAGGCAGACAATTACTACGCAGGGCGTAGGGTCACAAACGCATAATGCGCCTCGGTTGTGTGCCGTTGGATGCGGGTAGATAGGGGTGGTGATTCGGCTCGTGACGGTCCAACCCACCACATCGTGGGGCCGTGCGTGCCCTATGCCTACTGGAGCCATAGATGCGACTGCAGCGGCAGGCATGTGTACCGTTGGATGTTGGTGTGGTAGACGGTCGAGGGCGGGACATATGGGCCAGCATCGTTGGCACCGTGTAACGTGTACTGTGGCCACGTGGGCCTTCATCAACGGACGGGAGTAATCACACGTCAACAATGGTGAGTTACTGCTGGCGATCGAGACCGGGACATATCGTCGATGCGTGTGTACGTGGACGGTCGGATGCACAGGTAGCTTACACATGCACAGATCAAGACATAGTTACAGCCGTACACCTGGTACCTAATTCAACGGCATCCGACGAATCCACGTAGTGGGATGGAGACTTGATGTGTTAAAATTCGACCAATTGGGATATGGGGAAATCATGGGATGGCGCTTGAGCATTGGTCACATCGGACGACAACAAAGGGTGTGGATGCGTTTCAAGGTTGATCGTGGTCGTCCACGTGAAGGCAGTTGGTTGCACAAGACCATGGTTCGAGGCGCTTTGTACTGTACGAGTACTGTAACCGAAAGTATGTCATGCTGACGTCATGGTCGCCACGTGTATGGTTCTCGTAAGATTGCATCTAATTGTGGCATTTGTTATTCACCCGACCGAGTAGTTCCCGTGCTGACTGGTGCGTGACATGCATGTGACCATGCAGTGACGGTGGTTGGGACGCGGGGGAGCTTTTACGTGACATTTCCGTGACATCGCCGTCACATTGGAAGTGACGGTGGGTTCGGTACTCTCATCCATCACCTTTTTACCACAAAAAACCGTATACGAAAATGTGACGGAAATGTCACATTTTCGTAACTTCTGGCCCTTTGCTTTTCCGCGATGTACTTAGCGCGAAAAGGCCTTTTTGCTTCTTAAATTTCCCAGCGACTTCTCCTGCGGACGCCTCGAATACGCGGCCCGTCTCGAGCGCAAGTTGGGCCTCCCAGCCGACTTCCCCCACCACCGAGAGACTGCCGCCGGCTCAGTCATCCCCAACGCCACACCAACGTCACAACGACGCCACATAGCTGCATCAGTGTCGTCAGCGGCATCGGCGGCATCAGAGTCTTCAGTGGCATCTGCACATCATCAGCCGTATCAGCATCGCCACCCGCACCAGACTCGACTCGTCATCAGCATCCGCAGCATCAGCATCATGGGCTCGCGTGGCCTCGTGCTCGCTGCACTGGCTGCTCTCATGCTCTCGGGTATGCTCTCACGCTCTCAGACCCTTACTGTACTCTCCACCCTTGCAACTACTGTCCTCTTTACCTCCCCCCCCTCCCTATCTCCCCCCTCCCTCTGCGCGCCAGCCTGTGCGCCCATGGCGGAGGCCACCCGCGGCGCGCCATCATCAAATCACTGCCGGTGGGGCCAGGACAGGGACGCAGCGGGCAACTGCGCTGGTGGGTCTCTCTCTCTCTCTCTCTCTCTCTCTCTCTCTCTCTCTCTCTCTCTCTCTCTCTCTCTCTCTTTCTCTCTCTCTCTCTCTCTCTCTCTCTCTCTCTCTCACACACACACATACACACACATTCCTGAATGCCTGCTTGCCTATCTCGCTCCAAGGCTCTCAAACCCAGTTTCTCTTTCCTCGTTGCTTCCTGCTTGTGCCTCCCTTATGCCTGCATGTGCCCACGTGCCTGCATGCGCCCCTCACATGGCCACATGTGTCTTCCACGTGTCACCTGTCCGCTCCAGACACGTGTGTGCTGCGCAACTGTGGCTCCAACTCGAGGTGCATCAAGGACAGTGCGGGCTCGGCCACCTGCATCGCCCGTAAGTGCCGCCCTTAGGGTAGTGCGGCACGCCCATGAGTGCTGCACGCCCGTAAATGCCGCACGCAAGTAAGTTCTGCACGCCCGTAACTGCTGCAAGCCTCCTGCGCCCGTCAGAGCTGCCGCCAGGAAAGCCCAATGACTTGGAATTCACGAATACTCCACGTGTTGGTTTCCCATCATTCTCAAATACCACCTCTCATCCACTGTGTGTGCGTTAGAGCTGCCGCCAGGGAAGCGCGATGACTTCGAATTCACGTACACTCCACGTGTTGGTTTCCCATCATTCTCAAACACCAACTCTCCTCCACTTTTGAGTCGACTAAAAAATAGCTTCACGTATATACTCCACGTGTTGGTCTCCCATCATTCTCAAATTCCAGCTCTCATCCACTTTTGAGTCGACTCAAAAGTAGCTTCACGAATGCTCCACGTGTTGGTCTCGCATCATTCCTAAATACCAGCTCTCATCCACCGTGTGCGTGTTGCTCTGCGTCTACCCACCCACCATCTCTGGATGCCGCCCTGCATTGCGCCCGCCCTGCATTGCGCCCGCCCTGCATTGCGCGCGCGCTGCAGACTCGTGCGCGCTGATGGAGTGCGATCCCAACACCACGTGCGTGAAAGACAGCGGGCTCGCCTCGCGTGTGTGCAACTCGGGATTCGCCATGACACCCTCCGGCTGAGTTGGTCAGTGCTACCCTGCTCACTGCTCCTGTTTCCCTGCTCACTGCTCCTGCTGCCCTGCTCACTGTTCCTGCTGCCCTGCTCACTGCTCCTGTTTCCCTGCTGACCGTTGTATATACACGTGGATTCGCCATGACGCCCTCCGGCTGCGTTGGTCAGTGCTGCCCTGCTCACTGCTCCTGCTGCCCTGCTCGCTGTTCCTGTTGCCCTGCTCGCTGTTCCTGCTGCCCTGCTCGCTGTTCCTGTTGCCCTGCTCGCTGTTCCTGTTGCCCTGCTCGCTGTTCCTGCTGCCCTGCTCGCTGTTCCTGCTGCCCCGCTCGCTGTTCCTGCTGCCCTGCTCGATGTTCCTGCTGCCCTGCTCGCTGTTCCTGCTGCCCTGCTCGCTGTTCCTGCTGCCGTGCTCGCTGTTCCTGTTGCCCTGCTCGCTGTTCCTGCTGCCCTGCTCGCTGTTCCTGCCACCCTGCTCTTTGTTGCAGCTGTGCTGCTTGCTCTACACTCATCTGCTCTCGCCTCACTGTCCTCTCTCCATGTTCCCCTCTCCCTCTCTTCCACTCACCTGCTCGCGTCACATGGCACGTGCAGACACGTGTGTGCTCAAGGACTGTGTGAAAGCCACGTGCAGCAAGGGCGCCGATGGCGCCGCGTCCTGTGCTTGCTACCAAGACTTCGCCTTACAGCCTGACGGCCACACGTGCAAAGGTACGTGCTGCACATGCTTGGGAACTACTGCCAACAGAAACTGCTGTGTGCGCTGTGCTGTGCTGTGCGTTGTGCTGTGCTGTGTGCTGCTCTGTGCGCTCTGCTGTGTGCTTGGCTGTGCTGGTGTGGGCTTCTGCTTAGCGTTTGCTGGTTGTAGATTATAATCCTGTGCTAGTGCATGAGTCTGTAGTGCTCGCTGGTGTTCGTTCCCCTCTGGCCCTCCTCGCAGACATATGTGTGATCGCTGACTGCGAGGGGCATGATGCCAACTCCGCTTGCGTCAAGACCAACGGTGTTGCGTCCTGTGTGTGCAAGGCTGGATACGCCAAGAATGCGGCGGGCATTTGCACTGGTACGTTTGCTTTGCTGGTCCCACCTTGTGTGTGTGTACCTGCGTTTGTGTGCGTGTGTGTGTGTGTGTGTGTGGGGTGTGTGTGTGTGTGTCTGCGTGCGTGTGTATGTGTGGGTGTGTCTACGTGTGTATGTGTATGTGTGTGTGTGTGTGTGTGCGTGCGTCTGTCTGTGTCTGTGTAATTTCTTTTCCTCTTGCACCCACCTCTTCTTTCTCTTCACCCAGACACCTGCGGCATTCAGAACTGTGGTGAGCACTGCTGGTGATTCTATGTGCGTTTGAGCCACCTCTACTACAGCGAGTGCTGCTTGTAATTGGTGTTGCTGGCCTCTTGGAATCTTCGCACCTTAACTTCTCATTACACATTCACTTGCCTCCGCCCCTCCCATCAGATGTGTGCATCATCAAGAACTGTGAAGGCGCTGACGCCAATTCCACTTGTGTGAAGCATGGAAACAATGCGACCTGTGTGTGCAAGACTGGATTCGCCCTGGCCGGGGGGCAATGCACTGGTACGTTTGCCAGTTGTACTCTCATAGCGCGCACTTCCCTCTGTGGCTGTCTGTGTGTCGGTGCGTGCACGCGCGAGCGAGGGTGGATTTTGTATGTGATGAAATTGCTGTGTGGTTCTCTATGTTCTGCTGCTCTGTGATGAAATTGTTGATTGCTGCGCAACTCTGTGCTGCTGTGGTTGCTCCTGAGTTCATGTCCCCTCCACCCCTCCGCCCCTCCTCTCCCTTCCTTTCTGCCTCTCCCCCCACCAGGTGTCTGTGCGATCCAGAGCTGTGGCGCCAACAGCAAGTGCGTTCCTGGTGATACCGACGCTACCTGTGTGTGCGACCAAGGCTTCGAGTTGCAGCTGGATGGCAGGACGTGCGTCAGCACTGGGATCCAGTGTGCCCCGGGTTCCATGTTGCTTCCGGATGGCAGAACGTGTGTGCCTGGTGGGTGATGCTAGCTTGAAGTGATGCTAGCTTCAAGTGATGCTAGCTTCAAGTGATGCTAGCTTCAAGTGATGCTAGCTTCAAGTGATGCTAGCTTCAAGTGATGCTAGCTTCAATTGATGCTAGCTTCAAGTGATGCTAGCTTCAAGTGATGCTAGCTTCAATTGATGCTAGCTTCAAGTGATGCTAGCTTCAAGTGATGCTACCTTGAAGTGATGCTAGCTTCAAATGATGCTAGCTTCAAGTGATGCTAGCTTCAAGTGATGCTAGCTTCAAGTGATGCTAGCTTCAAGTGATGCTAGCTTCAAGTGATGCTAGCTTCAAGTGATAGCTTGAAGTGCTGCTGTGCTGCCCCCACTGCCATGGCGTCACTACTATCATGCGTTCCAGTGCTGGCTCTAACCCCACCCAGTGACATGCGGCCTGGTTGGCTGTGGTGCGACCCACCCAGCACTGTGACAACACTTTTCAAGTGGCGTCTTGTGTTTGTGGCATTGGTTTCGGGCCGTGGGCGGATATGTGCTTGTGTAGACGCTGGGAATTGCGCATCTGTGTTCAATGGCTGCTGTGTGCTTCTGTGTCGCAGCCTCTGTGATCTGGTGCATGCAGTTGTGTGCTGTCGTGCTGCCTCTAGCTTGTGATGGTAGCTCCTGCTGTCACTGAGTTTTTTCAGGCCTCCTTGTGCACCCTTTTTTCTTGTTTCTTGTTCAATCCTCCCCATGCCCTTCTGCCTGAATCACACTTGTTGTTCTCACAGTTTGGTGTGTTACAGAGTCATTGTCCTACTCAGCTCAGCTGTTACACAAAATGTTTCTTTCTATATCCATCCACCCACCCCTGGTCTCACGATTCGTGTCTCACTCTGCCACGTTCTTTCAACCCAACTCCTTCCCAGATCCATGCTCTTCCACTCAGTGTTATCCGACGTTTGCACACTGCGAGATTTCACCGGTCACGGGGGCGGCAGTCTGTATTTGCGAGTTTTACGTCTTGCCGATGTTGGCAGGTCTTTTCCAGTGTGTTTGTATGTTCCACGCTTTTCCACTGTGTTTGCTCGTTGAGGAATCAATGCTTTTTGACCCATCTCTTGTTTTCTAAACCCCAACGCATGAACCTTTCATTTACTCCCTCTCCCTCTCTCTCTTGCTCTCACCCGATTTTGTTCCATCCTTTTATACCTATGACCTTCCAACAGTTGCCTTGGTGTAATAGCAATCTGACATCGCTCCATCTGACTCTGTAAGGTATGTGCCAGATTGGGAGTACAATAACTTGCTCTGATCTAACCCTTCAATAGGTTGGCTTTGGCATCGATTAGCCTCTTCTAATGACAAGTGTAGTCAGTTCCCCTTTTACCCTTGTTTTCTATCGTGCCCGCTTCCCCGTTGTTGAGTAATTTTCTTGTAGCAGGCGTGTGCAAATTGTTGCTTATGAAACGCATAATCTCCAAATTAGTGTTCACAAAGGGGATGAGATATAGCCATGACAGCGAATCCATGTTTCTCTCACCCTATCCCCAATAACTCATTCACCATCGGTTTCCCACCCCTTCAGCTTGTCCCCTGCATCTTGTTCGTCTCTCCCCTCAACAGACAAAGTGCCATCAAAATAGACGAGAGGCACATCCACTCTCGTGACGACCATTATCATCTGTCCCACCTGTGCTCCTATGAAGGCACACCCTCATCACTTTCGTGATGGCACACCATCATCACTCCTGTAACGGCGCCCCTCTTAAAAAAAGGCTGTCTACATTTGTGTACCGTATTTTCCAGTATATGAGACCTGTGTGTCACACGTTATATTTTTGTATATGCTAGGCTATAGTGAGGTACATAGTATAGGGTACGAAACTGCTCTTGACATTCCTTTTTGTACTTTCATCCTACTAAACAATAGCATTCTGCTAGTATTCTGAGATGGTAGCACGCTAAGTTATTTCCTAGACGTATACTAACTCCTCAGGAGTGTTCCTAGCTCCGTATCTTCCATGCCCACCATACCGCCTCCACCAGCCGTCCCATCGCTCGGCCAGCATTAGCGCATGCAGAAGCAGCCGCCTGTGCAGCAACAGCCGCCTGCATTCCGCGCGTGCCAGCATGGCACGCTCAGATAAGCAGTGCGCACCAGCACAACACGAGCTGCAAAGCGGCATGCGCCAGCATAGCACGCTCAGATACAGTAAGCAGTGGTGCACCAGCACAACACGTGCTGCAAAGCGGCACGCGCCAGCATAGCACGCTCAGATAAGCAGCGCGCACCAGCACAACACGAGCTGCAAAGCGGCACGCGCCAGCATAGCACGCTCAGATACGGTAAGCAGTGGCGCACCAGCACAACACGAGCTGCAAAGCGGCACGCGCCAGCATAGCACGCTCAGATACGGTAAGCAGTGGCGCACCAGCACAACACGAGCTGCAAAGCGGCACGCGCCAGCATAGCACGCTCAGATACGGTAAGCAGTGGCGCACCAGCACAACACGAGCTGCAAAGCGGCACGCGCCAGCATAGCACGCTCAGATACGGTAAGCAGTGGCGCACCAGCACAACACGAGCTGCAAAGCGGCACGCGCCAGCATAGCACGCTCAGATACCGTATTCTCCCGGATATAAGACCCCCCGAAGTACTGGACCCCCGGGTCTGTAATACGGGGGTGGGTCTTTTATTTTGGCAGGTTTCCACTATACCCCCATCTAGAGGGGTAAACATTACTAGACCCTCCCCTAAACGTGTACACTACTCTTTTTTTTCTGAAATTTGATGCATTTTCATGTGTTTTTCTATCATGATTAGGATGTGAACACAGATTTAGATCCATTAAACCCTCACAAGGTTGACTGTTCACGGAAACAGTAGCAAACATGGGAGAAAACAATAGCCAGAATTCAATGTTATGACCCTAGTTAGATTTGAATGAGAAGGCCACAACCAGGGCCCACAGCCGGGCATAGCCGCCTACAACACTCAGCCAGCTACACAGTGTTAGAGATTAAGGATCGAGTCTATGAAGATTAGGTGCCCAAATAACTCAAAATCGTTGGCTTAGAATTCTGGACAGAAACCGCGATTTCACAAGAAACGTCACCGACGAAAATTTCATCTTTAAAATCGTCTCAAACTCGAGTATGTTATAGCCCTTGACCGTGGCTATCATTCCCAATTTGAATCGTATCAAAAGGTGGAGTAAATCTCGAGTTATGATTTTCGGCGCACTAGGGGGTAAGCTGCCACAAGCTTAACTCAATCAAAATTATCCTCACACAAGGGAATTGGTGTTAGACTAAAACAGGTGGGAGGGAAGAGAAGGACGAGAGGGAAGGTCCCAAAGGAGTCCCCAACCAAAGGAAACCCCATGCCACACAATTCCCCTCTCCATAGGCAACCCCACTTTCACATTTGTCACTTTCCCAACCTCCACAATCCACCTCACCCCACTTGGCCACACTTGCCAACCTGGTTTGGCTTCTCCCAACCACATGGCAGCAATCTACAGTGATGGGTTCGAGTTTCCCAACCCCCAAAAGTCTGTACCCCATACTTAGTCAACTCCACAACTTCCCAAAATCGCCGCAACCAGAGTACAGAAAGCATACGAACTCCAATGTTCGTAACTTTCTTGATCTTGCTCCGATTGCGACGATTCTTGGTTCGTCGGAAAGCTCTCGAGCAGATGAGTCACTTCAGAT